CAAGCAATAGATGGTGTTAAATCAACTATTTCCATATTGGAAAAGGGATAAAGATGTGAAGTATCAAGATGTTCGATCTTATATTCAACAGAATCTATCATCATGTTTGTATCTAATGAATATCTTGCTATATATTCAGGATAATATTTATTCAATAATGGCATTGATGCATTAATAACATTTAATATATTGATATTAATATCTAAATCTTGTTTTAAACACCTATTATAAATATCATCTATTAGGTTTGAATCTTTATACTTAATCGCATATATTAAGAATGCAGAACCATATTTTGAGAATTCTTCATTATCCCCCAGAAAATATGAAACACATCCACTATACAATTTATAATGCCCACCCTTATCATCATCTTTTGGGTTTATACTGGTAATTTTCAAAAAATCCAAAGAAATTAAATTCTCTTCATTATTTAAATGGAAATTAAAAATGCCAATGTTCGTTAATAGACCAATTTCTTTATTCTTTAATATTTTGTAATCAAATATAATTTGATCTTCATCTTCATCGTAATTTAATTCCCATAAATATTTATCTGCAACAAACAAACGAATCAAATCTTTATTAAATTTTAAAGAAGTTTCTGTTATTTCAATTTTAAATGAATTAAGATCTTTCTTTAATTCCATTATCTTATTTATCCGTTTATTAAATTCTTTCATTAATTCTCCGATTTTATTTTTCCATTTATCATGATCTTCCTCTTCATCAATTATAGATAGTCGTTCAATAAAATTCTTTTCTAACGCTTGACTAAATTTAATATCCAATTTAGTCATACTTTTCATTTTAATAAATTCTTTGATCGGATTTTTATATTTTTCTATCCGGCTTTCAAGATAATTCGCATTTATTTTGATCTCAAATAACATTTCAATAAACTTTTTCGCATCTTCTTCCATCAGTTTATTAAAATTTTCTTCAATTATGAATGTTTGCATTCCTAATTCATATTTTTCGATTTTCCATAAAATAGAACCTATATCTAATTGATATTCTCCTAAAATATCTTGTTGATTAGAAAAGTAAGAAAATTCTAAATGGTCTTTATCATCATTTTTAACTTCTAATACCACTAATGAATCCAAGTTTAATTCATTATCATCTACATTCAGGAATCTATAATTTTTTGATTGAGAATCAATAGCATAGCATTTATTATTAAGTTTCCAAATCAACAGATGATCAAATAAAGGAAATAACAAATTTTGATGATGTTTCATATAATGCTTTAGTTTTTCCTCTATAAGAAAATTTCCAAAAATACTTAAATACGAGCAAATAAACAATTATATTAAAGTTTAGCTTAAACAAAATGTTACCGTTTTTCAAATCCAAAGACATCGTAGAAAATTCATGTTTATTTGAATGAATGAAAATTTTTTCATCATTTATTTTCATACAAGTGTAATTTTCATTATTAGAAATTCTGATATCCTTTGTTTTGGTCTGTTTAATTGATTGAAGAACTAAATGTTAGTAATAACTTTGATACAGATGACAACTTTAAATTTTATCTATTACCTCATATATATTTTTAAATACAATTGTATTATGGCCAGTAAGAATATTCCATTCATATATATAGTGATTTAAACGCAGCCAAATTTTAGAATTCTTTATTATTATTACTTCCGCATCTTTAGGTAACTTGTAGATATTTTGACACTTGGTTTTTTTGGTTAGTGTTGAGATTGAATAAACACAAACAATATTGATAAAATCATAAATAGCATTAGTTCTAACAGAACAAAATAGAATCAGCCTTCCATCCTTGTTAAAGTTACAAATTTGTATCTCCATTGCATCAAATTCAAAATACAATTTGATTTCTTGAGGTTGTTTATCATTCAAATCAACGATTTCTAATAAAAAATTCGTCATGAAAATTATTTAATAATTATAGCGACAAATTAATCATTATACTTACTAATTTCATAATTATTATTAATATACGCTAGTATCTTTTCATCAGAGACACATATATGGAATATACTTCTAGATGTTTCAACTAATTCGTGCTTGTAATAATTTATAAGTTGTTTTCCTTTCAAGTCTTCGCCTTCTATTATATCTTTAATATTTTCAACGTTCCACACGACAATTGTTTTGTCTACTTCACTGTAAGTAACAAGATATCTTCCGTTCGGTGATATTTCCATCATACTAATAGGTTCACCATTATGTGGAGGTGGCATTTCGATGGAAACATTATCACTCATTTCTGTAAATAAAATTTAATACTTTTGGTTTTAAGAAAATACGGACAAATTATATTTTTTAAAAAAAAAATGAACGAAACAAACGGGTTAATAAGCCATGTTTATTTTTGTGTAACCAACCAAGCCTAAGATTCCAAAAGTAAAAATTAATAAGCCTTCCCGAATATTCAAATGTTTTGTGCTACGCTTTTAGCGGAACCGGTTCTATTACGAAAATATAATTTATTAAGCTATTCGTTACTGCGGTTGATAAAATCAATAGATTTTATTGAATATATGGAAAATCGGTACTTGGTAGTTTATTATAGAGTCAGTACGGTACGAGTATATGGAAAACCGGTACGGTACGATTCAATTTCGCGAAATAATACTGATCTGCAACATCGTACCGTACTGGTTTTCTATCTACCCGCTTTTTTTAACCTAAAGATTTACCCGGATTAATGCTTTGATGCCACCCGGGTTACGACCCGTTCCTTAAAAGGAAATCTGTGTCTTTGGCCCGAGTTATTGTGTATTTTGAAAAGCTGCAACAATAATGTCGTCGGGCAATGAAATGTTTGGTATTTATTATAATGGCAATTAAAAAAAAAAATAAAGTCAAGATTGAAATTATAAAATAAAATTTATGGCACAGCCGATTGGATCATGCTTGCTCTTCAATTTTTAGATATAT